CCTGCCTGCCCCATCCCAGCGCCCCCTCCTGACCCCCTACCTCCCCCACCTGCCCCCCCAGACCCCCTCACCCTCTGTCCTCACACCACCTGCCCTGCCCGCCTGCACCCCCAGCGCCCCTTCCTGCCCCACCCTCTGTCCCCACCCCCACTGCCCCCCCACCTGTCCACCTGCCCCCCCAGTGCCCACTCCTGCCCCAAGCCACCATCCTCTGCCAGTGACCTCTGCCTGCCCCCACCCCCTCCCAGCCCCCCCGTCTCCCCCACCCTCTGTCCCCACCCCCACTGCCCCCCCCACTGGCCCACCTGCCCCCCCACTCCTGCCCCAAGCCCGCCCACCTGCACCACCCCAGTGCCTGCCACCCCCATAACCCCCTCTCCACCAGCCACGGCCCCCACCTGCCCCTCCCCCTGCTCCTTCCCAGCACCTCCTGCCTGCCCTTCCACCTGCCCCCCAGCACCTGCCTCCATCCCAGCTCTCCCACTTCCCCAATCTCCCTCTAGCTCTGCCCTCAGCCACCTCCCAGTCCTGCCCCATAGTGCCCCTAGCCTCCCAGTCCTGCCAGCACCCCTGCCCCATCTCCCCACCCTGCCCCAGCCCAGCCCCTTCCTCCCCCTAGCTTGCCCCCATCCCAGCACCCTCTGTCCCCCGTCCCCCATCCCAGCACCCTCTGACCCCCAGCCTTGGCTCTTATCTCTGCCCCCCATCCCTCTGCTCCTCAGATCTGCCCCTTATTCATGGCTTCTGGACTCCTCTCTCCCACCTGCTTTGACCCCTGCCAGGTCAGCCTCTGAGTCTCTGTGTTTGGTTGGCAGTGAGGAGCCCCCACCTGTGTTGCCATCCCCCATACGTGGACCCAGCTGCGAGAGGCCAGAGTGCTACCAGGCAGAGCCGTGGGGCCTGCTGGAGTGTTACCAGTGCCGCTACCTGTGCACAGCCAGAGGTAAGACTCACCTGCCTGTGACCCAGCGGATGCTCTGTCTGCACTAATTCCTATAGTGCACAGGGCCCTGTCTGGGGGCTGAGGGTGCCAGATGTCCTGTCTAAAGTGGGGGGAGAGGGGTCTGCTGCCCCTGCTGCCTCTTGGCTGTTAGTCCTGGTGAGGCTGGACACAGGCACCTGCCAGTTCCCTCTGTGCCCCTGGCCAGTAGCTGGACGTGTGTCTTGAGCTGCTGGGCTCGCCCTGTTCTAGGGTGACCAGATATCCCGATTTTATAGGGACAGTCCTAATTTTGGGGTCTTTTTCTTATATAGACTCCTATTACCCCCCCTCCCGATTTTTCACACTTGCTGTCTGTTCGCCCTACCCTGTTCCCCCAGCTCCTCCTGAGAGAATGAGGTCTGCTCCTGTGGGGGCAGGGAGAGCCCTGATTGGCTGCTGTAGCTTAGGAAGTGGGGCAGTGGAGAAAACAGCCAATCAGAGGAGGGTCCCCACAGGTGGTGCTAACAACCTGCATGCCTCAGCAACCCTACTCCTTTTCAGAAATTTGATTTCCGGGGCTAGGACCTAACCTGACATATTTACCCTGTGTGTGTGTCTGTGTACAAACCCACTGTAACCTGGCACACTTATCCTGTGTGTGTGTACAAACCCACTGTAACTCGGCACACTTACCGTGTGTGTGTGTATACACAAACCCACTGTAACCTGGCACACTAACCCTGTGTGTGTGTGGGTGTATATCCACAAACCCACTGTAACCTGGCACACTTACCCTGTGTGTGTGTACAAACCCACTGTAACTCAGCACACTTACCGTGTGTGTGTGTGTGTGTATACACACACTGTAACCCAACACACTGACCCTGTGTGTGTGTGTGTAACCTGGCATACTTACCCTGTGTGTGTATACTTAATACAGTGCATTTTAACTCACGTGTGTCTGTGGGTGCACTTTATCCTGATGGCAATGGTCCCTTCTGTCTTTGGAATCTCCGAATCTATGCGTATGCAGACCTATTGCAACTCAGTGGACTTCAACCTGTGTGTGTGTGTGTGTGTACACAGACCCACTTCATCCCGTGTGTGTGTACACACACACACCCACCCACTTCAACCCAGTGCTCTTTAACCTGTGTGTGTACACACACCCATTTGAACCCAGCGCACTTTAGGCCCAGGAGATGGCCATGCCTGCAGCAAGGTCCATAGCTGGGATGTATCTTGCCGGCTGGGGATCTTCCCCATTCCAATAGTCCCAAATCCTCTGAGACAAAGACGACACTTGATTCCAGGAGAGCTGTTCACTTGCTGATCCCAGGGCTAGGGTGTGTGCGTGCTGCAGAAGGGCAAGGAAGAGGTTGTGCCAGTGGCTGGTGAACTCTCACTCTAGCTCATGCCTTAAGCTGAGTGTGGGTTATTGAGGTGAGGGCTCTGGCCAGCTGCATATGGTTCTCTACTCCTGTGACTCAGTGGTGGGCATCAACCTACAGGGAGCAGCAAAGCAGCAGGAATGGGATTTGCTGTTGATGCTGAGAGGAGAACAGAGGAGGCTAGATAAAGGGTGTCAGGTAGTTATTACAAGCTCATAAAAGGGGTTGTATCAGTGGATGATGGAACTTTGTCCCGTATCAGTGCAATAAAACTCCTCCAGAAACCTGTCTGGGAGCAGGGAATGGGGGAGGGTTTTGGTGCCTTTGCATGGGTGAATTAGTTGCTCAGAAAGAGTCAAGTTGCTGTCAAGACTCCTACTTTAAAAAGCTGCCCCCTTTCTCCTTCGTACTGTTTTACAGCAACTTCAGCCTGGCACAGCAACTTGCCTCCCGTATTCTCCGCCGCTGTCATGTAATGCTCAGGGGTAAAGTCAGGGCCTGCACACAGTACCAGGGGCGGCCCCAGGCACCAGCGCACAAAGCGCGTGCCTGGGGCGACAAGCCACGGAGGGCAGCCTGCCGGTTGCCGTGAGGGCGGCAGTCAGGCTGCCTTCGGCGGCGTGCCTGCGGAAGGTCTGCTGGTCCCGTGGTTTCGGTGGCAATTTGGCGGCGGGTACGCCGAAGGCGCGGGACCGGGGACCTCCCACAGGCGCACCGCCGAAGGCTGCCTGACTGCCGTGCTTGGGGCGGCAAAATACATAGAGCTGCCCGTGCACAGTACTGAGCCATCACCTGGGCTCTCTGCTGCCTTCTCTGACTGGACAGTTTGGAGGGTGTTTGACCAAGTTCCTTTATGCTTTATTCCAGGCGTGAGGGTGAAATTTCTGTGCACCCTTCACTCCTAAGACTCTTCCCTCCACTGGAGCAAGTGCATAGACTGTCAGTTTTTGGATATAGGGGCGGAGATGTTTGGCACAGTTAATTTGCCGTACACCCCCATGGACGCTGAAGGGAGCTAATTGGATCCAGCAGCATGTGCAGCTACTGCTGGCTCTGAATGTTCAGGGACGAGAAGGCTAGGAGTATAGCGTGTTCCCAGCCAGCCAATTGGCTCTTCTCTAGGTTTGGAATACAGGGTCTTCCCAGCTGGCCCTGCCTCAGGTGGATTCTTCATTTGCACCCCAAAGTGGCTGAGTGCTTGGCAAAGTTGTGAGGCTTGCCCTGTCCACGGCATACAGTGGTGATGAGGGATGCCCCTTGGTAAGGCTGCGTGCCTCATGGGGTTTGAAGCAAGTTAAAACAAATTAGATTTTCAGAGCCCGCTAACAGCTGCCTTTATTTCCTGTTCTGGGGCTCCTGGCTTGTTTGCATTAGTGAGTTGTTGATCCTGTCTGTCAAGGTAGCTGTGTCACACCTCTCAGCATGACAGAGTGCCCGCAGGTCCCATGGATTTATCTGAAGTTGTGGGTGCTCAGGACCTAAGAAAAAAGGCCCTTAAAATATAAAGATCAAAGCAAAATTGCCTCTCCTCCCTCCTAAAGCACATTGGCTGGAACTTGGCTTCTCCTTCTGGTCCGCCCCCTGCATTCAGAGGGCAGGTGAGGAGCTCTCGTATTAATCAAGCTTCTTGATTTATTTGGATTTGTAACAATTGCAAGCCCCTCTCCAGAGCTCCAGGTACTTCAACAACAATTGAACTACACTTGACAGTAGGACTGTGAGGAGTAGTTCCCCACTATGCTGTATGGCTGCCCTGTCATCAGACACCTAAGGAAGAAGTTGGGCTTTGCAGTCCTGGGAAAATGCACAAGTTAGTGCCGTGAGGAAAAGGTGGGCCTTGCATGTTGTCCTGTGGTCATCTTTCCCTCAGTGAAAGGGAACTTCAACTACTTAATTCATGGTCAGCAACAGGCACACCCTCCCTCATGCCCCTGTGCTGCTGTGAGAGAAGCCAGCCCTCTTATAGTTATGGGGGGTGTGGGACCTTCTCAATACTAGACCCATTGCTAACTGGCCTTTGAATTGTTCATCTTTGCAGCTTGCTGCCAGCTTGTGGAAGTTCTGCTGACCATGCTGATCCTGATCTGCAGCTCTGTGTCCTACAGCTCGACAGGCGGTTACACCGGCATTCCCAGCTTGGGGGGCATTTACTACTACCAGTATGGAGGGGCTTATAGTGGCTTTAATGGGGCAGAGGGGGAAAAAGCCCAGCAACTTGACACTCAGTTCTACCAATTAAAGCTGCCGACAGCAAGGGCAGCGATGGCTGTGGGAGGGGCCCTGATGGCCTTCTCTTGCCTTCTGGTTTTGGTTGGTGTGCTGCGGCTGCCATGGCATTTCCCAGCCTGGCTGCTGCTCGAATGCACTCTGGACATATTGATTGCACTTGGCTTCCTGCCTGCTCTCTACTTCTACTTCCACCATCTGTTGGATGCCTACGATTCTCTAGTGTGCAAAGAGAGAGAGCATCTCTACCAAAGCAAAGGCTACCAAGGCTTCAGCTGCAGTGTGCATGGGGCAGAGATAGCAGCTGGGCTCTTTAGCTGCATTGCCATTGTGGCGTTCTTGGTCAGTGCTGGCCTTGCTATCAGGGGATACAAAACAGTTCATCAGCTGAGAGAGAAGCCAGTGCAGATGTATGAGTTTTAGGGTGGCTTCTGCATACCCAAGCTGTCCTACCAGCTCATCTCTCTCTCTGGCTGCCAGCCTGGACACCAAGAAGGGGCAGCATCGTTTCCCCTGGCTCAGGACATTGCATCTGCACTGCTACAATCAGAACACAGGACCATGGCCACAACAAGCACCCTTACCATGAGAGAACAGCTCCAGCTAGAGCCAAGCCAAGCTGCTTTTAACCAGCCCTTGCATTTAAATCTTGTGCATGTGAGCAGAACAGATGCATTCTTAGTTCCATAATCTACATCTGCTCCATGGCTCTGCCTCTGTTAGCAGTGACTAGCTTACTGCTTGTGCTGAGCTCAGTATCTTGGGAGTAGAGGGGCCCCTCCATCCCCTGATCTGCTGAAGCAAGATGTCCCAGCTCTCTCGTTGGCCACAGTCCCGTTCCTCCCATACAAGGTAGAACTACCAGCACTTGGCAAGATACCATATTCATTAGCTAAGACTGAGCTTTTCACTTGACCTTAAATAAGCACAATGGGACTTCATCTCTCCTCCCATCACTGCATGTTTGAACAACTTTGATTCCCAGCTGCTTGCTACAGCAGTGCAGGGAGCAGGAGAGAATGACATAGGAAGAGAGCCCAGGCTCGGCCACTAAACCCTGCCACTAGCTCTCCTCTGAGCCTGTGTTTCCTCACATGGCGGGGATCAGGGGGTCACCTTTAAACAATGGTTCTTATTTTTTTTAAATGTAATTGATTGTATAAGAAAATGATTCTACAAACCCGATCATTAGCGGAAGGGTGAGTGAAGACAAACACCAACCATTGTTCCCATAAAGCAGGGGTTCTTAAACTGGGGGTCAGGACCCCTCAGAGGGTCCTGAGGTTATTACATGGTGGGTCACGAGCTGTCAGCCTCCACCCCACACCCCGCTTTGCATCCAGCATTTAGAGTGGTGTTTAATATATAAAAAAGTGTTTTTAATTTATAAGGGGGGGTCGCACTCAAAGGTTTGCTGTGTGAAAGGGGTCACCAGTACAAAAGTTTGAGAGCCACTGCCATAAAGCAAAGTGATGTCACCCAGGCAGTAGCATGTGACCCTAATGATTAGTTGAGTGCTGCATGCCTGCGTGGAGCCTAGCCGGAGAGCCCCCGCACAGGGCAGGGCTTTACACTATAGGAACATGTTCAGTAGCACCTAGGATTGAGCCTGTGACCAACCCATGGGGAAATGGCATGAAGGCCTGGGAATGTAATGGATCACAGTGGAAACAAGAGAAGACTGTCCTATTAAATACAGTTTCTATGAATATCCCACTATGGTAGGATACTGTCCTCACCACTTAGCTGAATGGCCAAAGTGTAGGTGCGCTAGGGCTCCCTACAGATCTGAACTGTAAGAGGGACAATGGCTAGGGTTGCCAACCCTCCAGGAGTATCCTGGAGTCTCCAGGAATTAAAGATTGTCACATGAGAAAATCTCCAGGACTACATCCACCCAAAATTGGCATCCCTAACAATGGCTGCTTCAGCCCCAGGGGGATGTTGAAGCAATGTGTTGGCTGTGTTGCTTTTGATCCCTGGTATGGTGAGTATGGTGCTCAGCTGAGGGGCTGGCAGCCAGTAGATAGATGGAGTAGGCCCTCTTGTGGGAACGGCTGGAGCCTGGCGGTATCTGATGGCAAAAGGCACACCCCCCCACCCTTTTTCTCCTTCTGCTACATGTGGAGAGTTGGCCAGCTAGCTTGGCAGGCGGCCTCATCCTTTGGCTGAGAGGGGCAGGAAGACCCATTTCTGGTGTAAGCTAGTGCTGTTGTCTCTGCTTTTCCTCTGCACTGTTTTGCCAGTGTGGAAGGCAGTCTGTGCTGTTTCTCTCCCTGTAATAAAGGCCCAACGCAACTCAAGGGAACAAGAAATAGCTGTGTCCTTGTCTGAGCAGAGCTCTGGGTGGACAGGCATTTACCTAAATTCTGTAGACCATGTGTTCTCATGCTGGAGGGCATAACACCGCCTGCCCTTTGTTTATGGCTAGACAGGAGTATCTTGAAGGGTTTTTTTTGTTTATAACATGGGCTCACAGCCTCCAACTGGTTGAGAGCCCTGCTGGAGCTGGGCCAAGCACTAGAAAAGACCCCGCCCTGGCCCCCCAGGTGCTAGCTGAGCTAAGCTCAGACTTTCTAGCCCTTCTACCTCTGCTACAAGCTGAGTCAGCTCACTAGGTTTGGGCACTCCAGAGTGTTGGGAGGACAGGTCAGGCCTGGCTGAAGTGAAAGGGAGACATGTCACAGCATTGTGTATTTCACCCAGGTGTGGTGCAGCAAATCCAGGTGTTACTGAATGCTCTGGCTCTCGTGTGTGGTCACTTCTTATTTTGTTCTTTCTGGATTCAGTGCTGGCTTTACCGCTGGTGGCTTCAATGATAATTACTACTGACCCTTCAAGGGCCAAGCACTGGTGCAAATCCAGCACCTGGATCAGTAGATCACCATCTTCTTGTTGGAGATTTGAATACTTGCTTCCTTGTTGGAAGGTCCAAGCCTCTGGAAGCTCTCTCGCTAGGAAATGGCTGCTTCTGGAAGCCACGTGCTGGCTCCTGGCTAGTGAAACAGTTTAGTATTCTTGGCACTCGAGTACTAGATGGCCTCCTCATGTGAGGCAGAGCTAGGGTAACAAGCTGTCTTAGCCACCAGCAGTGGCACCTGCAGGCCAACTCTTTCTCTAGGTATACAATTTCTAAGCAGAATGTTGTGGATAAGAATGTGCTTTTCACTGACTTTTATTCTTTCATTCACAGGCTGCCAAAGTGAGTCGCTTTTTGAGATAATGCAGGGAAGAACTAGATGATAAAATATTAGAGACTAATCAGAGTCGCATAAAGTAATTGGCCTGATGTATAACCTGGACTCTCATCAGATCTGTCTAAAGCAGCACTAAGCCAAGCTTGCTCAATCCTTTTGATGGGAGATTTCCTTAGAAAAGCTAAGGCAGTGAATCACTACTGATTCCAGCTAATGGTGTCAAGGGACTGTGGTGCTCAGAGCTCTAAACAGCATCTGTCCAGAATAAGGGTCCCATGGTGCTTTTCCAGAAGTGTTAACAGCACTTTCCTGTTTTGATCCCCAATGGGTAGGTACATTCCCCCTTGGTAAAGTCTCCCTGTAGTTTCAGCTGGCAAAAGATATTACTATTTTCAAATTCTCTAGCTCCAGACACATGGTACACCTGCATAAGCCCCTCAGTGGTATACAACAGGGACCATCACTTGAAGAAAAATAAGTTTATATGATGCAAGATTACTCCTATAAAATTCTGTGCCAGATCACCAGCTGTCATTCTGCTGCCCGCTTTTACCCCGAAGTCACTTTTTCTTATAGCACAGGGTAGTTCTGCTAGGAACATATTGTGCAGAAGACTCCATTAGGAGAGTTGACCTATAAATAAATGCCTTCCAATCAGTGCAGAGCTTGTATTAACCCTTTGAGCCAGGCATTTATATTACCATGATAGAGAAGCAATGCCAGAGACAAGTTTGTTTCCATTTTAAGACCAATCTGTGATATAAACCTCTCTTCTGGGCCAGAGTAAATTTGGGCTGGAAATTAGGTTTCTAATGATCAGAGATGGGAGGTTCTGGAAAAGCCTTGCAATAGGAGCAGTGAGGGCATAAAGGATTTTAAAACAGAACTTGATAAATTTACAAATAGGATTATTTGAGGGGGGTGCCTGCACTCGGTCCCCTCCACTCCCATGCTCTGTTTGTCTCACGCTCTCTGAGGGGCAGGCAGGGGTGCCTTTCTGTATAAAACGTGTCTGGTCTGTGCCTCAAGAACAAGGTTAATCAGTGGAGACTGAGCAAGATCTGAAACTTTGGAAAACAGTGTTCAGCTATGAAAATTCTGCTGTCAGATCTCACAATAAAGCTTCCACGCTTTACAGTAAAGATATTAAATGCTGAGCTCTTCCTTGTATTCTTTATAAACAATTAAAGGTGAACTTTACTCTTTTAAAAAGTTTGTTTCTTTGACTTTTTTATGGAATAAAATGGGGCAGTGGCTCTATGAAACCATGAACAAGCTTCAAAATGAAATGTCATTTCACAGCAGCCCCTACGTATAGCATCCCTTCGTTAGCACTGACCACATGGAAAACACGCAGAACCAACATGACTGGCCAACACTGCCTAACCCCCCCTCCCCAGTGAATACAAGTGATGTTTAGCCTCTAGTGTTTCTCTTACTTAATTGGCACCAGTCTCTACTCTACAGCATCACATGAGATCACGAAGCAGCAGGGTGGAGTCAGAGATATGGCAGTTGAAGAAAAAGATTAATAAAAGCCAATTATCAGCTGAAGTATATCTGGTTTTGCTTGGTAGTGCCCTCTTTTTGGTACCGGTTACTCATCCTCTAGGTAACTGGGAGGGGAAACGGTATTTATTTAGCAAATCCTTCTCTCAACTCATAAGGCAAGAGGTGAATTATCTGCCCTCCATTAGCCCAAAAATACAAGGGGAGGAGAACTCTATTCCTGCAGGCTGCATAACCCTTAGCAGCCAAATAAGTAGTGTTACCAAGTGTATTCACTGCAAAGCTGTGTCTAGGCACAGTGGCTCGTGTCAGTCCTAGCCACAGGCTAATGTTTCTCCACTTACTATCTGCTGCAGATACCTCTAGAGAGCTGCACAACAAAGTACTTCTGAGGCAAAACTACTGGCCAGAACTCCTCTTCACATGAAGAAATTCCACCTTGAAGATGCTTTACAAGTACTTTATAAGGAGGAGGCCCTATTGGGGGGGGGAGTAGCCTGCTCAGCCAGATGACTGAGGCCATGTCTACTCTACCACTTATGTCAGCAAAACTTATGTCGCTCAAGGGTGTGAAAAAAAACCAACAGCCCCCTGAGCGACATAAGTCTTGCTGGCATAAGTGCTTGTGTACATACACAGGGTTATCTCGGCATAGGGTGGCTACACAAGAGATCTTACAGCACATCAGTACAGCTGTGCTGCTGTAAGGTCACGAGTGTAGACATGGCCTGAGACCATCCTGGATAAAGCTGGTCACAACTGTGCTCACACCATGGCATGATTGTGGCACTATGCGAGTACTCTCCAGTGCATTAACAAACAGAATATACACCTAGATGAAAGTAAAAATCTTTATTGCTATGTCCGCTGAAAAGTTGATCAAAAATATTCTTCCTTTCTGAACTGTTCTGTATATCTTAGTAAAGAATCAATGGAATCACATTTTAACCCCAAGGATCTTCCTCCTTTTGCTGCCACATACATTGCGGTGCTGAAGGTGCATTCAGTATAACAATCTACTTCCACACACAATGAAAGAGGGGTATTGTTATAGCTGCATGCTAGAGTCAGGTACATAAAATAGTATACGCTTCATTTTAAAACAAAGGCATGAAAAATAGTTTTGCTGCAATTTATCTTTAACATGCTCTAGCTCATGTGACAAGTTAAAAAAGTTAACACATTTCAAAAATATCAAAAATACACAAGTCTGAAGATTGCAATAGAATTTCAGCGGACAATGATTGCACAAAAACTATGATGTGAACCCACTGCCTGAAGGCCCTTTGGCACAGAACCTACATCCTCGAGGAGAGGTGGAAAAACTCCCGGTTTACGAGGACCGGTAGATGTGGTTGAATGTTCTGCAAACTAGAGAAAGGGGGTAGATCTTAAGAGCAACCTATTCCCATGAGAGAGAGAGAGTATCCTTAAGTGCTTGCCACACTCTGGAATGAAATTAACCCTCGCCCCACAGCTTAGGAGCCTCACCTACTCTAGGCAGCTGGGAGCAGTTTGGAGGCTGCTAACTGGCTAAGAATTTCTTATCCTCAATACTTTTTGCCTTGGAATTAGTTTGCTTTTATATCAGATGTTTTGTTCATTAGTTCCTTCTACTGGGACCTTATTGAACAAGTAAAGCAGATAAGTTAGCGCCTTAGGAGTATCTGCTGCTGTTGAAAGTGCACACCAAGAGGGAGAGAATTACTTGAGACTTGACACATGGAATAATACTAACCGGCAAACTGCAGCCCCCCACTGGGAAAGCGGCAGCTCCCACTTCTCTTCCATGGACAGTCTCCTTGTTACAGAGATGCTCTAGAACACTGATTCTCAACCTTTTCCATATTTTTATCACTAGAAGAAGGGGAGAGTGGCCACAACCCCCAGGTCAAGAAACCCTCTTCTATACTAAAGCTGTGTTTACGGGGAATCTTTCACTGCTGCACTCCTGCAGAGATGATAGCAACTGTGCAATGGCCTGAAATCACCATCAGGGAAAAGAAGAGGCTATGGAGAACTTTGGTCAGATAGAAATTGAAATAAGCATGGGAAACTCCTCTTTCTTTGTACTTTGCCTCACCCTCATCTGAGCGCCCATCACAAGGGCTGCCCTCACCAGCCCAGACTGTCCCCACGTGGGTGACAGGATTCCTAAGGAGCTTGAAAATATAAGAAAACGAAGTAAGTTAGGAAAGACAAGGAAGAAGCTTGCTGGCCCCTGGAAAGCAGGAAATCAAGAGGACAGGAAGAGGGGGCAGCTCAGATTGCAGCCTGGAATGAAACACTCTTCTCATAAGACGTGTGTTAGAGCAATATATCAGAGCAAGAGGAAGCTCTGTGTTCTGATTGGCATCTATGATAACATGCCATGTTGTGCAAGGACACCGCCACTAACCAATGAGTGTACAGGATTTGGAGGGAGGGAGCTGGTCACATTAAAACCTCTTTCTGCTCCAAATACATAGGAATAGAGAAAATCCTAACTGATGATCACTGTACACAATTAGCCTTTACTTCAGCAGCTCCACTCCACAGCTTCCAGGGGGCTGTAGGAAATGGAGGCTCTGTATCTATATTCTCCATCTGAACTTTCTGTTTTGCTTTCTCCTCCACTTTTTCCACTGAGCCATACAGAGCTGATAAATCAGTCCTCTCAATGACAGCTGCAAACACTCCCTCACAGCCCTGGCTAGTTGGAGCCCAGATATCATATTCAGAATCTAATTACTAGTCGGAGACGTGCTGGATTTTCCACATTAGTGCAAGGATTCCAATACAGAACCTTATTTGTAACAACACATACTAGTGTACTAGTGCAAGGATTTGATTCACATTCTTACTCAGGAAGAGGGGCACATTTTCATGTCAGTGCATTAGTCCAAGACTGAACAAGAGGCTGCACTGCAGCTCTTCTGTAGTGCTTCTGAGACTATTGGGGCTGGCTCAGAAGTTTGTTAAAATTATCAGTAGTGCAAGAATTAAAGGGGACCTGCAATTTTTGCTTCTTTTTAGGAAGAGAACCTGAAAGGTTTTGTTTTGTTTTTTTAAAGAATTTTTTTGTTCTTCCTGTTTTCACTGTGGACTCCTTGGATAGCTCAGAGACAGAGTGGGAGCGCTGTTATCCCTTAATTCTCTCTAGATTGATAGAACTAGCAGAGATTTCAAATCTTTAACAAAAAGGTTCTCCTCCAACTTCTAAGTTAAAATAGGTGTTAACAAAACTCAAAGGGTGAGACCACCCTATGGGAAAGAGGCGGTTTTCTATGACATTAGCTAACATGGTAATTAAACCAAGGTGAAATCCTAGGGCTTGTAGACACTAGCACTTATGTCAGTATAACTTATGTTGCTCGGGTGTGAAAAAGCCACCCCCCTGAGCGATGTAAGCTATATCGACCTAAGCACCAGTGTGGACAGCATTATGTTGGCGACATGCAGAGGTGGATTTATTATGCTGACAGGAGAGCTCTCTTCCGTCAGCATAGGGGGTCTGTACTAGCAGCACTGCAGCTGCACTATTGTAGCGATTCTAGTGCAGAATAGCCCCTTGTGTGGATCAGGCAGGTTTTTCCACACACGTTAGCAGGGCTAGGATGTTGGCTACCATATGGTACAAAGATACTTTTTTTCCCTAGTGAAGACAAAGCCAAGGAGTTTTACATTCTGAATAATAGCCACTTCCCCACTATCAAGTTTTCTCACAGGATCTATGATGTCAGAATCCCACTAGTTCTCTAGTTGTACATTGAGTATTCTAGGTCAGACAAGACCTGAATTTCTGATATAAAAGATAAGCAAAAAATAAACACACCAAACAAAATAAAACTCACCCCAAAAGCCCAGAACTCTTTTGGAAAAACCTTTCAGACTTTCTTCCTAGACATAAGAAATAAGTAAAATAACAAGAAAGGGCACTAGTCCCATATAATGTCATAATGAGGCTATCAGTGTTGTCATACCACTGAGGATATGTCTACACTGCAATTAAACACCTGGGACTGGCGCGTATAGAGCTGACTCAGGCTTACGGGGCTCGGGGCTGTTTAATTGCAGGGTAGATGTTTGCGCTCGGGCAGGAGCCTAGGTCTGGGACCCTCCCTCCTTGTGGGGTCCCCAAGCCTGAACGTCTACACTGCAAATAAATAGCTCTGGAGCCCACACAGGCCAGCCGCAGATGTTTAATTGTAGTGTAGACATACCCTGAGATTACTGAGGCAGCTCCCACCTCAGAGCTATTGTTCCCAGCTCCCAGGCTGCAGACTCAGGAAGATGATCTGCCTGGATCACAGATGGAAGGTTGTCTTTGCAACCCTTTTGTAAAGATGAATGCTTAAATCCTGGAAAAACAGCCAGAAAAGGGCTAGCAGGGCACCACACTGCATACTGGCCCATCCAGGCCCTGAAAGTGGAAACTGGAACACATTTGCCAACTGGGCGCTGGGCAGCTCACTGCTACTCTCCAGAGTTGTTCTAAAGTCCTTTTTTCCTCAAGTGTGCTGATAAAAATGTTTGTATTTGGGAAAAGTTCCATTTTGAGTTTAAAACTAAGCAGAAACCACACAGCTTCATCTTGTTCACTTCCTGGTCTGGGCACTTGCAGCTGGAGCCCGGGCAGCCCTGGACACTGATTCTGCTCTCTGCTCCTACAGAGACAGGCAAGGGTGCTTTTGCTGCTACAGTGTAGGGGGTTCATATTTCGCAGTGTGTGTTAGAGGGAGTGCGTGTGAAATGGACCGTCAGAGACCTTCTCAGCACATGCAGGGCACTCTGGCTGCTCACTAGCCTTTACAGCTACAAACAAAACATCCCGCTGGACAAGATGAAGTCTCCCCACTCACACTTTTTAGCTTCTGCCAGCTAAGGGCACCACACAGAGCACAGACTCTGTGCTTTGCAGGTGATTCTGGCTTCATCCCATGTCTCGTGGATATGGAAGGCTCTGCCTTGAAGTGCACACCAGGGGGGTGGCCAACCCCCTATCCCCTACAGTTGTACACACTAGCCCCACCCCTACCCATGATCATATTTGTTATGGAGATAGCCAAACCCCTCCTGGGACTCCTCCATGCCCCATCGTCATATCTGTCATTGGGGCCCCCAACCCTCATGCCCCAGTTGTATCCTTCAGGTTGGAAGGAAGCCCCTGGATAACCTCATAACAAGTAGTGACAAAACTACCTCAGCTCCCCCAGTGTCCCTGGATGTACCTATCAGGAGGGCACCAATTCCCATGTGGAGGAATCCCCCCATAATACCCATTGTGAGGTTACTGAAGCCCCCTCTCCCTAAATAGTAAAGTGCTGGGCAGATGGGGAGCAAAATGGCTCAAGTGCAGTCAATGAAAGTGCTTGCGATGCATATAAGAATCAATTCTCTGACTGGTTCTGTGTCGCTAGTAAGCTTCATTGTGACAGGCTGTATTCTCTGAACAGTAAAGCCAAGTGACCAGTCCCATCATGATGGCCGAATCAAATACTTCACAGAACTCTGGATGCTGTGCATAACCACAACTGCCTCCTCAGCTCCCACACAGAAACCAGCCCACTGCCTGGCAATTCCTCAGGAGGGCAAGGGTTAATGGCAGGTGGTGGGACCACACATAGGGAAGTCTGCCTTCTCAAATGCCAGACAATCCCCGGCATGGAGCTTGGCTGCTGGCCTGAGTACCCTGGGCTCACAGAACAGCAGGGATGCTGCCTCAAGAAGCTGGCAGCCCTGAGTTTAAAGCTCCAGGCTTGTCCTGCAATCCAATAAGGAGGGAGCTGATGTCTGTTCCTTCCCGTGCAGATGCCAACTCCCCTACACTATGGAGCAGCCCGGTGGGGTTACAAAGCTGTGTCAAACTCATCTGGAGGAGCCATTGCAGTCTTCTCATTGGGCTCCTGCTCTGCATCACTCTCATGGTGCTGCTTAATTTGTTCCTTCACTTCCTCTTCCAGGTCAGGGGGCACAACAAATCGATCCTCTGGCTCC